GATATCAATATGTAATACAACAAGCATTGTTAATTCCCTACCACTTTGTTTGTAACTCTGTATTGTCTGTACTGTTCTTTTGCTATTTTGTAAAATGTTGTCTGTCTGTTAACGTTTTCCTTCTTTTATTTTTAAAATAAAAAAAATCCAAGAACAATAAAGTTTTATTTTTCATAATGATGGTATTTATTTACAATTATTTTTGCCTATATATCCCAATAATTTTTGTCTTAACATTTCCATAACATTTAATGTGATACAGCTTTATTTAATATAGTTTTGGCACTTGCTCTTCTAGGTCAATTTCTCATTATGATTTTTGCAAGATGGAGTCTCAAGTTTGTTTTCCTGGAAAATTTTTGTAGATTATAGATTTTAAAATTTCCACTATTTTGTCACTTCAGATATCGTCTTCAGGGACTCCAATTATAAATATATTAGATGCAATTTGCCTTTCTTTTGCGGATGAGAGTTCTGAATTCTTAGTTCTTTTCTTAAGGAAGATTTTACTTTTTTTGTTTCCATCTTGTATTTTGCTTGAAGCATTATCCATAATGTTTAACTGATATGTTTCTCCTGGTTTAGGTTTTACTCATGAAAATAATTTTTTTTTTATTTTATAAATAAAAGGAGGAAAACATTCACAGACGGACAACCTTTTACAAAATAGCAAAAGAACAATGTAGACAATACAGAGTTACAAACAAAGTGGTAGGGAATTAACAAAGCTTGTTGTAATACATATTGATATCTTCAAAGTCGTTTCTCATGGAAACAAATAGAGATATGCAATATTGATCAGTCAAGGACTCATTAACAGTTTCTTTTAGGAAAGAAATAGAAGACAGTATATCAACTATGTTAACTATCCTGAATATACATACCTATAAAATTTCTCCATCCTTTCCTGCTCTTTTCCCACATCCCAGTTGCTCTTTACGCTTGAGCGTTTTCCTATCATTTCACAATGTCTATCATACCTCCGAGTTAAAATAACTCTTACAGGTTTTACACTAGTGAAACAATGCAGTGCTTGCACTTGCAGGCCTGATTTATTTCACTTATGAGTATGGTCTCTAGTCGTGACTATTTACCTATAAAAGCCTCGAGTTTATCTTTCTTTATAGCTGGGTAATATTCCATTATATAAAAGTACCACAATTTTCTTT